AGAAAGGACTTAATTTTAAATGAGTTCTTGCTAATTGACCAGTTTTACATATTCGGCACGACATATATATAATATATAAAATATATATAATATATATATATATATATATATATATATATATATATATATTTTATTTATATATATATATATTTATATATATATATATTTTTTTTTCAACAAGTCGGTCGTCTCCCACCGAGGCAGGGTGACCCAAAAAAGAAAGAAAATCCCCAAAAGAAAATACTTTCATCATCATTCAACACTTTCACCACACTCACACATTATCACTGCTTTTGCAGAGGTGCTCAGAATATAACAGTTTAGAAGCATATACGTATAGAGATACACAACATATCCCTCCAAAACTGCCAATATCCCAAACCCCTCCTTTAAAGTGCAGGCATTGTACTTCCCATTTCCAGGACTCAAGTCCGACTATATGAAAATAACCGGTTTCCCTGAATCCCTTCACTAAATATTACCCTGCTCACACTCCAACAGATCGTCAGGTCCCAAGTATCATTCGTCTCCATTCACTCCTATCTAACACGCTCATGCACGCTTGCTGGAAGTCCAAGCCCCTCACCCACAAAACCTCCTTTACCCCCTCTTTCCAACCCTTTCGAGGACGACCCCTACCCCTCTTTCCTTCCCCTATAGATTTATATGCTTTCCATGTCATTCTACTTTGATCCATTCTCTCTAAATGACCAAACCACCTCAACAACCCCTCTTCTGCCCTCTGACTAATGCTTTTATTTTTTCAAAAAGTGTGTTTGTGGGTTTTGGGGCCCCCGGCATTGGGGCCTGGGTTTGGTTAAGAAGCCCCTCTCAATGGGGGGCACTTTGGGGAGAACGCGGAATGAGGTTTATGACGGGTTTTTTTTACTACAAATCCTAACCAATCCCCCACCCATGGTGAGGGGAGAGTGAACTGGTTCGACTTCAACAAACCGTAAAGTTGCACAACCTTCTATTTAGCAGAAAAAAATTGGGATTCCATTCGAAATGGTATCTTCAAAGCATTCAACAAGTTTTTAAAGAGGGCCCTTCATTTTAAATGAGCTTATCACTTAAACAATTTGCAACTAGGCCCGCTACACAACCTGCTGCATATACTATATTGTAAAGTACACTAAAAGTTATACTTTATTTGAATAAATGAGAAATTCTATTTGAAATCACATAATAAGTTTTTAAAGATCTGAAACCCGACAAGAAGGACGGGTGACCCCTTATGCAACATAAGGAATCCTAATCTGAAAAAGACTCCCCCATATCATTCATAAGTTTCTCCAACTCTTCACATACAAAGTACCCCGAGACAAAATATTCATCTCACCTTGCGTTTTGCCTAAGGTAAGAACAGCCCGTCAAAGCATATCCCAAACCCCCTTTAAAACCATGTCAACATATCTGGTCCCTTTCCGATCTCCGACTTAAAATAATCGATTTCCCCCAAATACCATCATAAATTTAGGTATGTCTAGGTTCCGAGCGTTCGGTAGGCCTGAAGTTTATTCTGCATTAAATGTCTCTTAAGCACTGATGACTTTGAAGTCAATTTTTCTTTTTCTCCAGATAACTGTTTATCACGTTGTTTCCAAAAGTGAAATTTCATATCCCCCCTTTTACCTTCCCTAATAGACTGTAATCTTCTGTCTCGACCTTTGATCCCACTCTCAAATGCCCAAAACCACCTAACAACCCCTCTTCTGCCCTCTACTAATCTTATACCACATCTCTAATCCACACTCGAATTTTCGTAATATTTACACGCCCTTCCCTTAGCCCAGTTAACATCTCAGCGTGATCTGTGGTCAACGGTGTGCAGTTAATCACAGTTCCGATAACTAAATTCTTGGTCCCTCTATGCGTGGTAACAGTTCGCCTCCTTTCATGCGTCCAAGATAAGTTTTTTGACGTCCAATGAATTCAAGCTCAACTGAAAGCATTTTGTCCCTAGGTTTCTTGTTTATACCTATCCTCAGGAATCCTACTCCAACTACGTAAATCCATATGGACTCCGGAAGCTTCTCACCACGCCCCAATCTATCAATTTAAACTATACTGACCTTTGACGTTACTCTTTCACCTTCCTTTCTGCCATGCGGACTCCATCGCTGTGCCTGAGCCCGTCGTGATCGAGAACTTGGCCATTTCTCTCGGTTCGTACTCCCAAAATCTCTGTTCTGTCACCAAATTTGTATGTCGTCCATTCCATTGTAATTTTGTCCCCTGTCTTTAAGAGCCTTCATCCGTCAACAGATTATTTTTCAACCCTCTAAAAAAATTTAAAACCATGGTGACATTACCATCCCTGTCTAAGACCTCACTTTTCCGGAAGTATGCCCACTTTTCACAACCTACCTTCTGCATATTTTAAAAGCTTTTACAGCATTTAGTAACTTAACCACCTATTCCATATACTTGAAACTGCCACATTGCCTCTATCCACTAAATTCCTTTTTAACCTAAGCAATAAAAACTTCCCATACCTTTATCTAAAACTGTTCACATATCTCATTAAACACTTGATCTAACATCCCCTACCCACTCTGAAACCTCCTTGTTTCGTCCGCAATTCTACATTCTGTCTTACCTCTATTCTTTCAATTATAACCCTACCGTATACTTTTCCTGGTATACTCAGTAAACTTATTCCTCTATAATTTTACAATCTCTTTTGTCCCTTTCCCTTTATATAAAGGGACTATACATGCTCTCCGCCAATCCCTAGGTACCTTCCCCTCTTTCATACATTTATTAAACAAAAGTACCAACCACTCCAACACTATATCCCCCCCTGCTTTTTAACATTTCTGTCATGATCCCATCAGTTCCAGCTGCTTTACCCCTTTCATTCTACGTAATGCCTCACGTTACCTTCACCACACTTACAGTCTCTGCTCTTCTTCACTCCTAAAAGATGGTATACCTCCCTGGCCAGTGCATGAAATTACCGCCTCCCTTTCTTCCTTAACATTTAAAAGTTCCTCAAAATATTCTCGCCATCTACCTAATACCTCCCTCTCCCCATCTACTAACTCCCCTACTCTGTTTTTAACGGACAAATCCATAACTTTCCCTAGGCTTTCTTAACTTGTTTAACTCACCCCAAAATTTTTTCTTATTTTCATTAACATTTCTTGACAGTGCCTCTCCCACTCTTTCATCTGCTCTCTTTTTGCACTCTCTCACCACTCTCTTCACCTTTCTTTTACTCTCCATATACTCTGCTCTTCTTATAACACTTCTGCTTTGTAAAAACCTCTCGTAAGCTACCTTTTTCTCTTTTATCACACCCTTTACTTCATCATTCCACCAATCACTCTCCTCTTCCTCCCTGCCCCCACCTCCTATAACCACAAACTTCTGCCCCACATTCTAATACTGCATTTTTAAAACTATTCCAACCCTCTTCAACCCCCCACTACTCATCTTTGCACTAGCCCACCTTTCTGCCAATAGTCGCTTATATCTCGCCCTAACTTCCTCCTCCCTTAGTTTATACACTTTCACCCCCCTCTTACTTGTTGTTGCCACCTTCCTCTTTTCCCATCTACCTCTTACTCTAACTGTAGCTACAACTAAATAATGATCCGATATATCAGTTTGCCCCTCTATAAACATGTACATCCTGGAGCCTACCCATCAACCTTTTATCCACCAATACATAATCTAACAAACTACTTTCATTACGTGCTACATCATACCTTGTATATTTATTTATCCTCTTTTTCATAAAAATATGTATTACTTATTACCAAATTTCTTTCTACACATAGCTCAATTAAAGGCTCCCCATTTACATTTACCCCTGGCACCCCAAAATTACCTACTACTCCCTCCATAACATTTTTACCCACTTTAGTATTGAAATCCCCAACCACCATTACTCTCACACTTGATTCAAAACTCCCCACGCATTCACTCAACATTTCCCAGAATCTCTCTCTCTCCTCTACACTATCTCTCTTCTCCAGGTGCATACACGCTTATTATAACCCACTTTTCACATCCAATCTTTATTTTACTCCACATAATCCTTGAATTAATACATTTATAGTCCCTCTTTTCCTGCCATAGCTTATCCTTCAACATTATTGCTACTCCTTCTTTAGCTCTAACTCTATTGAAACCCCTGACCTAATCCCATTTATTCCTCTCCATTGAAACTCTCCCACCCCCTTCAGCTTTGTTTCACTTAAAGCCAGGACATCCAGTTTCTTCTCATTCATAACATCCACAATCATCTCTTTCTTATCATTTGCACAACATCCACGCACATTCAGACTTCCCACTTTGACAATTTTCTTCTTCTTATTCTTTATTATATATATATATATTATATATATATATATATATATATATATATATATATATATATATATATATATTATATTATATATATATATATATATAATATATATATATATGTTATATATATATATATATATATATATATATATATATATTATATATATATATATATATATATATATATATATATATATATATATATATATTATATATATTGTCGTGCCGAATAGGCAGAACTTGCGATCTTGGCTTAAATAGCAACGTTCATCTTGCCATATAGGGCAAGTGAAAATTTGTGTATGCAATAATTTCGCCAAAATCATTCTGAACCTAACGAAAAAAATATATTTCACTGTGTTTGTTTAGTATTAAATTATTGTAAACAAATCTAAAATATATTTAGTTGGGTTAGGCTAAAATAAATTGTTCTTGTTATAATAAGGTTAGGTAAGTTTTCTAAGTTCTTTTTGGTGCAAAATTATAATTTTTTACATGAACATTAATGAAGAAAATATATCTTTAAACGTATAAGAGAAAATTTTAGAAAGGACTTAATTTTAAATGAGTTCTTGCTAATTGACCAGTTTTACATATTCGGCACGACATATATATATATATATATATATATATATATATATATATATAATATATATATATATATATATATATATATCCTAGGTAGTAGGTTGGTAGACAGCAATCGCCCAGGTAGGTACTACCGTCCTGCCAAGTGAGTGTAAAACAGAAGCCTGTAATTGTTTTACATGATGGTAGGATTGCTGGTGTCCTTTTTTCTGTCTCATTAACATGCAAGATTTCAGGTACGTCTTGTTACTTCTTTACTTCTGCGTACACTTAGGTCACTTAAGAGACCATACAATAAGTGTCAGGGACCCGAGACTGTTCAACTGCCTCCCAGCATACATAAGGGGGATTACCAACAGACCCCTGGCAGTCTTCAAGCTGGCACTGGACAAGCACCTAAAGTCGGTTCCTGACCAGCCGGGCTGTGGCTCGTACGTTGGTTTGCGTGCAGCCAGCAGCAACAGCCTGGTTGATCAGGCTCTGATCCACCAGGAGGCCTGGTCACAGATCGGGCCGCGGGGGCGTTGACCCCCGGAACTCTCTCCAGGTAAACTCCAGGTAAACACTACACATACATGTACAAGCATGTACACTATATGTACAAGCATATATATACACACCCCTGTGGGTTTTCTTCTATTTTCTTTCTAGTTCTTATTCTTGTTTATTTCCTCTTATCTCCATGGGGAAGTGGAACAGAATTCTTCCTCCGTAAGCCATGCGTGTTGTAAGAGGCGACTAAAATGCCGGGGGCAAGGGGCTAGTAACCTCTTCTCCTGTATATATTACTAAATATAAAAGGAGAAACTTTCGTTTTTCCTTTTGGGCCACCCCGCCTCGGTGGGATACGGCCGGTGTGTTGAAAGAAGAAAGATATATATATATATATCTATATATATATATATATATATATATATATATATATATAATATAATATATATATATAAATATGTCGTGCCGAATATGTAAAACTGGTCAATTAGCAAGAACTCGTTTAAAATTAAGTCCTTTCTGAAATTTTCTCTTATACTTTTAGAGATGTATTTTTTTCATTAATGTTAATGTAAAAATTTTTAATTTTGCACCAAAAGAATCTTAGAAAACTTACCTAACCTTATTATAAACAAGCGCAATTTATTTTAGTCTAACCCAACTAAATATATTTTAAATACGTTTACAATAATTTAATACTAAAGAAACATAATCAAATATATTTTTTTCGTTAGGTTCAGAATGATTTTGGCGAAATTATTGCATACATAAATTTTCACTTGTCCTATATGACATTATGAGCGTTGCTATTTAAGCCAAGATCGCAAGTTCTGCCTATTCGGCACGACATATATATATATATATATATATATATATATATATATATATAATATATATATATATATATATATATATATATATATATATATATATATAAATTGTGAAAAAGAAACTGTTGTCTGAGAAATATTTTGTTAGTTGTAATGACTGCTACTCAACTCTGTTGAGTATTTTAAGACGCCTTTAAATTAATACTTGATATTTTGGAGTTCTTACAACGAAAATTATGCAAAGAACAATTTTATTGTAAATTGTCACGAAGTTTTGTATAACTGCATTTTTGAATAGAGAACAATGAAGGCATGAAAAATATGAGATTTTATTTCTAAATAATATCAGCTTAAGACAACATAGAACTTCTTGATTTATTATCTATACACATGTCCAAGAGATAGACTAACTCTTCATTAACTGAATTCATCATAATTTATGACTATGTTTCAATAACACTGAACTCATTAACATATTTTGGTAGTGAGCTCAGGAAAGCTGGTTTCTCTTGTCTCACAGTAACCTATGTAAAGCATTTGACAGTGATCCATGGTTGCCTGCTGACTGGTGACTACATTGTGCTTGATCCCCTGTGTCACACTAACAGGTTCCTCCATTATTCGCATGATGAGCCACTTCCTGACGGAGGCCACCTTCAGGAGCGGCCTCAAGAACTACCTCAGTGCTCTGTAAGTCTTTAGCACCTCTGTCACCTATAGTGGTTTAGATCCTTCTGTGGATGCAATAACATTATTATTATCTTCCAATCTTTGTCTTCTTTCGGTTCCTTCTTTTGACCCTATTTTCCTTCCTTCTGTTCCTCCTTCTCCTCCTAGTTTCCCCTTTTATTTGTCTTCTGTTCATTCTCCCTCTTCTTTTCATGAATTTATTCAAATGTATTCTTTTTTTTCTTCCTTTGCTTGGTTTTGGTTTGGTTTACAGTATATTTCCATTTTTCTGAGAGGCTTGGGTGGTCTTAGTGTATACTGTATAAAAGAGAACAGTAACAACAGACAACAGGTGAAGATAAGATACGCGTTATACAACAAGCTTTTATAGGGACAATACAGCAAACCTGTCGCAATAAAAGCTTGTTCTGTAGCGTGTCTCATTCTTTACTATTGTTGCTAGTACGCGATTTGGGTCGAGACAACAAGTAGACTGAAATTTAGAGGTGGATCATAGGCTCTGGAGGACGACCAATGACCAGCTCCTCGATGGTTCATTGCAGCCAGTTCGGCAACGCTGACCAAGACGACCTCTGGGATTTCTTGACGGCCGCCGCCCACCGCGACAGGACGCTGCCGGAGTGGATGACGGTGAAGATGATAATGGATACATGGACGCTGAAGATGGGCTACCCTGTGTTACATGTAGTGAGGAGCGGAGACGGCACCTCGGCCACCATCACACAGGTACACGATTACCTCTCATTTCTCAGACGCATTAATAACTTATCCTGTTCTGGGACTTAACATAAGAACATAAGAAAGAAGGAACACTACAACAGGCCTACTGGCCCATGCGAGGCAGGTCCAATTTTCCCATCGGCTTAAGCCAATGCCTTAACCTAGTCAGGTCAGTCACATTCATTGAAGGGAGGAGCGCGGCATCTTCCATACCTCACATTCTCATTTTTTAAATCAACAGATAAATTTTTTTTTTTTACCTTAAAACTGTTTAACATGAAGTAACATAAGTGAGAAAATAAGAGTCTCACTGAATCAAGATTACAAAGCAAAAACGATGTAGTTATGTAAGAATAACAGGATGGGTATGGGGTGACTACCGTCCTCAGGATGGGTATTAGGTGACTACCGTCCATAGGATGGGTATGGGGTAACTACTGACCATAGGATGGGTAATGGGGCGACTACCGTCCACAGGATGAGTATGGGGTGAATACTATCCACAAGATGGGTAATGGGGTGACTGCCGTTCACAGAATGGTTATGGGGTTACTACCGTCCACAGGATGGGTAATGGGGTTATTACCGTCCACAGGATGGGTAATGGGGTTACTACCGTCCTCAGGATGGGTATGGGGTGACTACCGTCCACTGAATGGGTATAGGGGTGCATAGAGAAGTTATTAAACTAATTAACCACAGAATAAAAGCAACAACTGACTCAGACCTCAGTTTATTGCGTTGATTTCCTTACTAGGTTCCCCATGTTAGTTTCCTAAAAGTTCCTGTAAACATACAAATTCTATTTTAACTTAGGATAAGCTAGGTTAGGTCAGGATATATTTGGTTGGATTATTTTTGTTACAGGTTAAATCAGGTTACATAAATGAACACATATATTTAACCACAAAAAATTAGAAAGCCCTCGGATTAATCCCAGACTGGATCTAATTATTTTATTATTATTATTATTATTAATAATCAAGGGGGAAGCGCTAAAACCCGGAGGATTTATAAGCGCCTGGGGAGGGATGTGGGAAAGGGAAATTTAGGCTTAATTCGGGGAACTGGAGCACAGATCCAATTCCCTAAATCAAGAGCCCCTCACCAACATCACGGAACCTTCCTTGAGGGGATCTAATACCCGCAAAGCGTTTCCTGCTGGGAAGGATGGGGGATTTGAAAGGGGGGTCCCCCTTTCTTTTTACACGTAATAACCCCTTTTAACTTATAAAATATGGATGAACGACCGGACCCCGGTGTGTTTTATCCAGGGATGGGGTTTTAAACCGCCCGATGGTATTAGGTTAAAAAGAATGAAATTTAAACCAAGGAGGTTGCAACCTCACGTTTAGTTGGAATCTCCAGTTATGGGTGCCTGCCCTTCCGACTGGTATTTTCCCTGCATTAAATGTTTTGTAAATTAATTTTTAAACCTTTTCTGGGAAATGTTTGGGGTCTCTCCTGGGGGGGGTTTAAAAGGAATATTAAAAATTAACACAAAAATACCCCACTGACTAACGGGGGTTATTGGGTCCTTTATGGGGTTTAAAATTTTTAAAAACCTTTTACTCTTCTATAACTTGTAGTAAGTTATTCAGGATAGTGTAAACAGGAATGGTACAAAAAGAAAACTTTTAAAAAAATGAAAGGGGGGGTAACAAGGAAAGGAAAATAAAATTAAATATTTTTATTAACCATAGGACTAACCCGGGAAAAACCCCGAAAACTTTTCAGGTTTTAAATTTCCCGGGGGCCTGGTCCCTTCCCCAGGGCCCCCAATACGATTCTAAGGACTAAGCAAAGGGTTTTGTAGGGGGAAAACAAGCTCTACCTTTTTTTTCTTTAAATGGGAAAGCTTGATAAAAACCCTCACATGTTAAACTACCCGGTGGTTTCCTACGCACACCTGGTTTTTTAAAAATTTGACCAGGAAACAGACATCCCCTGGGCCTTTGTCTTGAAACTGCATTCCTCCAGGGCCCAGTTCACAACAGGGGTGTTACGGAGTCGGGGGTAAGCTAATTTAATTTTATACCATTTGTTTTTTTGCCAATGTTGTGGAAATCTTTTTTCCGGTGGATACCTGGGGGAAAACCCGTCTGATGGCTTACATTTTTACCGGGGTGTATTTTAGGGAAAATTTATTCCTTTTGGGTGTTTACGTCAGTTACCCATTTTCAAAGAAAAGGGATTTTTTTCCAATGATAATTGGTGCCCCGGAGAATTCAATTTAAAACATGATTTTAACCATTTGAAATTTTCCGAATCGATTTGTGTAATTATTTTCCCTGGCCAGAAATATTATTTGATTGGGTAGTGTTTGTACCAGTGTGGGTTCGGGGACACTTACAAAAACCCCACCTGGAAACGTCAACTTGTTCCCTTCGGGGGTTTTGCAGGCTGGGTTATATTGGGGAAACCCCTCGTCCCTCTTCTAACGGAGTTCAAACCGCCAACCAGGGTGACTAATTTTTTCTGATTATTAAACCCCCAATCACACACTTGCTACCTTCAAGTAGATACCTTGGGGTGGGTTTTGTCCGGGAAAAATGGAGTGCTTAACTTAAAATTGTTATTTTTAAATTTTTGGGGAAATTCTTTTGGGGGATTTTTTTTTTTAAGAATATTATTTTTTTAGGGAAAATTGTGTCCCAGGCCTCGTATAAGAAGTAAGTTGACATCCGGAAAAGGGGTATTTAAATTATTCTATAAGATTAAAAGGTTGTAGTTTACAAGCAATGGGCTTGAAGAAAAGACCCCCGAAAAAAAGTTTTAGGGGCCCGGCAGCTAGTTAGCCCTTCTGAAAAACTCACAAAAAACCTTTCCCCAACAAAAACCCGCCAAGGTGCTTTTTTTCCAGTTTCAACACCCTTCTTTTTCCTTAGTATTCCTGGGAAGGTTTCCCTTTACAGTTAAATTTAATAAAGCAATTTTCACCGCCGTGGCTAGGACCAGAGTAGTAATTTGGGGTAGTATTGGCCCCAGCGTGGATAGGAAGGGAAAAGTTTGGGCAGGGGATTTAAAGAAGAGGCCCCTTGGTTTCCCTGTGTTCAAATGGGACTTGGGGGAAGGTCAGACTTGGGGAGAGGCCGAGAATTGGATAATAAGGAAATGTAAGTTTTTGGAAAGGGGTTTTTCGTAAAGGGGGCAAACTTGGGTTTCAAGTACAAAGGAGATGCAAGGGTTTTTAAATTTAAACTGGGAGAAGTGATGAAAAAGGGTTTTTAGGGAAGTGAGTAAAAATTTTCCTTGGGGTTTTTCCCCGGAGGGAAAGCCCCCAGGGATAAACCCAAAAAAGGTCGGCTCTCGAGGACTGTTAACTTATTTCCCTTTTGGGGCCCATCTTCCCCCGGGATGAAAAAGTAATAAAAAGGGTAATTTTGGTGGGAAAGGAAAGGTGTAAGGGGGAAAAGGAAATGTTCAAGCCGGGAAGAACCGGGCCTTGGGTTTGTGAACGGGAGTTTAGAAGGAGGGCCCAAAGGAAAGCAAAAGGAGGAACAGGGCAAATGTTGATGCATGGTGTCGGGAAAAAACAAGCAAAAAAGTAGGGTAACTGTTTTTTAGAGCGAGGGGGCAAAAGAAATGGGTTTAAGCACCGGATGATTTAAGATTTGTTTTGATACGAAAATGAGAAAAAATTTAGATTGTATGGATAAATGATAAATATTATAGATGTAAAGGAGTGAAGTATCTTTCCTTGGACTAGAGTTGCTGTTGCCCTTCAAAACATGTAGACAGGGAGGTGACCAAACAAAATGCCCTAAGAGAGGTAGATCTATAAAACACTGTTACAGAAGGTCAGACCTAAAAACATGTCAGAGAGGCAGACCTCCCCAACATTGTATAAGAGGGTCAGACGTAAAAAAAACACTTTTTCGACAAAAAGGGTCAGACTAAAAACACTGTCGAGAGGTCAGCCCTCCCCAACTTTGTCTTATAGGGGTCAGAGTACACAACACTGTCAGAAGAGGGTCAGCCCTAAACAACACTGTCGAGAGGTCGACCTCCCCAAATTGTCATATAGAGAGGTAGACGTACACAACATGTAGACAGAGAGGTCAGACCAAACAACCTGTCAGAGAGGGTCAGCCCCCCCCCAAACATTGTCAGAGAGGTTAGACCTACACAACACTGTGTTGAGCACAGAGGAACTTCCTCAAGCTCAGCTACAAGAGGTTACGAGTTGTTTTTAACCCCCTTCCTCTTTCAGGTATCTGGAGACGGCGTTCAGCGGGGCAGGAGGTGTCAGAGAGAGTGAGATTTATAGGGCCTTCACAGCAGTCGCCAACAATGACATGGGTCGTCACCTGGCCTGGAACTACCTCAGAAACAATTGGCAACAAATCCGGGATAGGTGAGAACGTAATTTTCATGTAGAATATCTAAACCCGTAGGGCCACACAGCGTCTGGAGAATGGGAAGAAATCATGGTTGATCAGAGAACGGTGGGAATAATGCATTTAGGGGAATAAAGAGCTCTTCACGGCATAAGTATTTGATCAAAAGCCCTTCCTGGCATCAAGGCCTTGGATAAGACCCCTTCTCGGTATCAGGGTCCCTTGGACAAAGGCCTTTCGCCGGCAAAAGGGGTACCTTGGTGAAAGGGGCCTTCACTAGCATCAAGGTACCTTGGATCAAAAGCCCTTCACCAGCATCAAGGTACCTTGGATTAAGAGCCCTTCACCACTATCAGATACCTTGGATAAAGCCCCCTTTCCCCCGGTCAAAGGATTGGACTAAGACCCCTTCATCGGCATCAAGGTCCCTTGGATTAAGACCCTTAGGGTAACAAGGTACCTTGGACTAAGAGCCTTCATCGGCATCAAGGTTAATTGGTAAGAACCTTCACGGCATAAAATACCTTGGTCAAGAGCCCTTAAAATTTTAATTTTCGGCATCAAGGTACATTGGAAAAAGGCCCTTCCCGGCATCAAGGTAATTGGATCAAGACCCCTTTCCCCGTATAAAAGGCACCTTTCCCAAAAAAAGAGTATAAAAATTACAATAAAAGGATGGCTGGTAAATATGCCCGTACTAGGCAGGTTATGGGCCTCCTGAACAACTTGGGAGCCCAGTGGGCCTCCGGCCCTACAAAACCTAAAAAAAGGATTCACTTTGGGTTTGTTTACCTTAAAGGGAAGCACTGAGATAAAATACTTAAAAAAAAAAAAGAAACAGACATTTCTTGAAAAATTTTTTTTTGCATTTGTATTTTT